TTTTCCGCAGCGTGAGTAGTGCAGCAGCAGCAGAGCTGCGGCGGCTTTACCGGTTTTGCTGCTGCCGCCGGGATGCAGCAGCAGCAGCAGCAGCAGCAGCAGCAGCAGCAGCGGGGGAGCCAGCAGCGGAAACAGCAGCAGCAGCAGCAGCAGCGCCGACAGGCCTCAAAAGCTGCCTCCAGCAGCAACTCGCCAGGTGGAGAGCAGCAGAAGGTTTGCTGCTGCAGCAGCTCGCTTTCTGGCGCCTGAAAGTCTCGGCCAAAAAGGAAGCAAACAGCAGCAGCAGCAGCAGCAGCAGCAGCAGCAGCAGCAGCGGGCCTGCAGCGCCGACGTAGGTGGCCTTTATTATTTCTTTTCAAAATGTTTTCTACAATTCTAAAACACCCTTTTAGTGTCTTTGCTGTTCTATATTCAAGAAAGCAGACCCTGAAGCGCCTTTGCTGCTGCTGCTGCTGCTGCTGCTGCTGCTGCTGCTGCTGCTGCTGCTGCTGCTGCTGCTGCTGCAGGGCGGACCAGTACGTGGAGGCGGCGCTGGTGGGCGGGCTGAGCTCTTCTTTGGCTGGTGCTGCTGCTGCTCCTTTAGATGCAGCAAGAGCTGTTGTTGCGCAGCAAAGTGGAGACCCCCGCTTCTCAGGTGACTCTTTGCTGCTGCTGCTGCTGCTGCTGCTGCTGCTGCTGCAGTTCGGCAATTTCTTTCTGTCTTCTCTCTTGTCTTTTTCAATTTATTGCCTTCCCCCTTTTGCCAGACACAAAGACTTATTCGGGGGCCTTTGAAGGGAGAGGGAGCTGCAGCAGCAGCAGCATGAAGAGCAGCAGAGCTCGGGCTGCCGCGGCGTCTGTTGCTTCTCGTGTCTATAAAATGGATTTCTTTTTAAAATGAATTTATTTAAATTAATTAATTAATTAATTTATAAATTAATTAATTAATTAATTTATTTATTTATTTGCTGCAGGCGTTTTGGGGGTGGGGAATGCGTTAAGAGAAGCAGCAGCAAAAGGGGGCCTCGGGGGCCTTTTTGCTTCGGCCCCGCTGCGGGTGCTGCTGGGTGGCTGCTGCGGTGCAGCAGCAGCAGCATTTAACTTGAAGTGCATGCATGCGCTGGCCCGCCTAAGGGCTGCAGCAGACGCAGCAGCAGCAGCAGCAGCAGCAGCAGCAGCAGCAGCGCCGGCGGCGCCGAGCGCTGCTGCTGCGGCGTAGGCAGCAGCAGCCGCTCCAGAGGCAGCAGCAGCACGCTGCTGCGCCGCAGCAGCAGCAGCACGGTGCTGCTGCTGACGCGGCAGACGTAGCAGCAGCAGACAGCTGCTCAGCAGCAGCAGCAACTGCTGCTGCTGCTGCCTAGGTGGCAGCAGTAGCAGCAGCAGCAGCAGCAGCTAAACTGCCCAGTTTCTGCATGGCAAACCCTCGACGCAAACTGCATTTTTTGGCCCGGCTAAAAGCCTGTGTAGACGCAAACCCTAAACCCTAAACCCTAAACCCTAGCAGCAGCCCTACTGCCAAGGCCTGGCTTCCGGGCCGCTCTAAACCCTAAACCCTAAACCCTAAACCCTAGCAGCAGCGCCAGAGAGCGAATTTTTTGGATTTTTTGTCTTTGAATTTCAAATAAAGTGGACAGCGCCAGGCGAAGCAAAAGAGCACTTAAAGCAGCAGCAGAAGCAGCAGCAGCAGCAGCAGCAGCAGCAGCAAAATGAAATTATTTCATTTCTCTGTTTGTTGCTGCTAAATCATCTGCCCGCAAGTTCTTGCGAGCAGCAAACACTCCAGCAGCAGGAGAGGCCCGCACTGCTGTCACCCGCGGCAGCAAACCCCGAGTCTCCTCAGAAGCCTGCAAGCAGCAGCAGCAGCAGCAGCAGCAGCAGCAGCAGCAGCAAGAGCAGCAAGAGCAGCAGCAGAAGCAAGAGCAGCAGCAGCAGCAGCAAAAATGTATAATTTATTATTTGTAATTAATTAATTGCAATTAATTATTTGTAATTAAATAATTATAATTTATTATTTGTAATAATTGACTGCAATTAATTATTTGTAATTAATTGACTGCAGCGAATCAAAGCTAACAAACAAATTCTAATTTATTAATTGCAACTCAAATAAAAAAAATTATTTATTTATTTATTTATTTATTTGAACTTTATTGTTATTATTTGTTCATTTGTTATTAAATTAAAAATAATTAAAATAAATAAATTAATAAAAGGGAAAACCATTAACACTCAAACAGGCAAAGACAAACAAAGAAACATAAATGAACATAAATAAATAAATATATAAAACAAATAAACAAAATAAACGCGCAAACAAATAAAATAATTAATTAATTAATTAAAGAATTAATTAATTAAAAAATTAATTAACTAATTAATTAAAGAATTAATTAATTAAAGAATTAATTAAAGAATTAATTAATTAATTAATTAATTAAAAATAAATAAGGAGTTGGGGTGTCACCTCAGCTAAGGCTCTCCGCTGTTGTTGAATTCTCTCTTCGAGTTCTTCTTTCAAGAGGACGAGGGCCGCCTTTCTTTCTTTTTCAGCTTCTCTTCTGAAGAAATGAACAATTTGATCAAAATGAACAAAAGAATTCAATTTAAATAAATAAAAACAATTATTTAATAAACAAAAGTTCCGAAACGGCGCGGGGGGGCGAACCCCGAGGTGTACAGACACCCGAAACGCATGCAAACTTCCGAACTTCCGCGAATTCGCCAATTAAACCCTCCAGCGAGTTTTCAAGTTCAATAATTAATTAAAAAAGGAAAAATAAACAAAAAGAAAACAAAAAGAATTCAAAAATAATTCAAAAAATGAAAGAAAATGAAAAAAATTCAAAAAGATGAATGGGCACCCCGCGCGCACTTGGGGTGTCTGCGCAGCTCGGTTTGGAATTTGCAGCGAAATGGCACTTCGGGGAATTTAAAATGCCATTTTTATTAAAATAAAAGAATAAAATTGAATTAAAATGCCATTTTTATTAAAATAAAAGAAGAAAATTGAATTAAAATGCCATTTATTCTTTTAATTGTTTTGAATTGGCAAAATAACAGCAACTCGCCTCAGCCCTTCTTCCCTCATCTCCCGCAGCCGCTCCTCCTCGCTGCTGCTTGCTGCTGCTCGCAAGTCCCGCGTGTAAAACACCTTTTGCTGCTGCTGCTGCTGCTGCAGCAGCAGCTGCTGCTGCTGCTGCTTCTCCAGTGCTGCTGCTCTTTCCCTTATTGCCAGGGGAGGCAGCAGGTCAGCAGACACCCGAAACGGCGACGGCTCGCACCCAGCCCCGTCCATTGTGGGGCCGTACACTCTGCTGCTGCTGCTGCTGCTGCTGCTGCTGTTGCTGCTGCTGCTGCTGCTGCTGCTGCTCGAGGAGCCGCTGCTGCTTTGTGAAGCAGCAGAAGATGACAGCTCCGGCGCTTCTGCGCCAGAACGGCTGGCTCTGCTGCGCCTGTCCTTGTTTGCTGCTGCTGCTGCTGCTGCTGCTGCTGCTGCTGCTCTGTCTCTGTTTCTGTCCCTGTCTCTATCTCGGCTTCTGGAGCGAGACCTTCTAGCGGCTTCGCGTTTGACTCTTCTGCTGCTGCTGCTGCTGCCCTCGCCCTCACTGCTGCTGCTGCTGCTGCTGCTGCTGCTGCTTCTTCGGCTTTTATATTTGGAGTGTTTGCGTTTGTGGCTTTTCTCTTTCTTCTTTTTCTTTTTGTGCTTCTTTGATTCCTTTTTGCTTCTTTGCTGCCCAGCAGCAGCAGCAGCAGCAGCAGCAGCAGCGCCTCCTTGCACCCGCGGCTGCAACAGGGGGTTTGCTTCCTGAACCCAAGCAGCAGCAGCAGCAGCAGCAGCAGCAGCAGCAGCAGCAGCAGCGGCAGCAGCAGCAGCAGCAGACGGCGCAATTCGAACAGGCATTTCAAACGCGTGCCTTAAAGGGCCACCCGCAGCCACGTGTAGCGCCTGGCATCGCCGTGTTTAGGGCTTAGGGTTTAGGGTTTAGGGTTTAGGGTTTAGGGTTTAGGGTTTAGTACCAGGGCCTGCTGCTGAGCCAACTCGGCGTGTTTGATAAGCAGCAGCGGATCTTCTCGCAGCTTTCGCAGGCGGTCTTGAGTGGGCACCAGCAGAGGTGCTGCTTCTGCAGCAAAACCCTAAACCCTAAACCCTAAACCCTAAACCCTAAACCCTAAACCCTAGAGATGAGCTCAAAAGACGCAGCAACTTGCGCGTGCTGCAGCCAAGGGCTCACAGCTTCTGAAGCAAAGTCCAAGAACGAAACTTAAGGGTTTGGGGGCACGAACTAGAATCCAAGGGTTTAGGGTTTAGGGTTTAGGGTTTAGGGTTTACTAGTGTCAGAGGGCGCAATGCGTTTCTCAAGCGACTCATCGGCCTTAGGCGCCACATCTGGCAAAGGCTTTCCTAACAAATATGCTTCCTAACAAATAAACAATAGAATAAAAATAAAATAAAATAAAATAAATAAAATAAATAAAATAAAAAGAAATAAAAAAATAGAACGGAAATGAAACAAATAAGACAGAAATGAAACAAAAGAAACTGAGGCCTGCTCGGGTGTATGGACACCCCACTGCACAGCAGCAGCAGCAGCAGCAGCAGCAGCAGCTGTCGCAGCGCAGCACCATCTACAACAAAAGCAGCAGCAGCAGCAGCAACAGCAGTAACAACAGCAACAGCATCAGAAGCCGCCGCAGCACTGCACCACCTACAGCAAAAACAGCAACAGCAGCAGCAGCAGCAACAGCAGCAGCAGCAGCAGCAACAGCAGCAGCAGCAGCAACAGCAGCAGCAGCAGCAGCAGCAGCACTTGCTCGATCTCTTTCTTTCGCCTCTGCGTTGTTTTTGGGGTCGTCATAAAGCCACTCCAAACCAGCAGCAGCAACTTGGGCCTGGGACGAAGTGAGAAGACCTGCTTGGGCCTGCAAAGAATTAATTAAATAAAGAGTAATAAATAAATAAATAAATAAATAAATAAATAAATAAATAATAATAACAACAATAATAATAATGAGATAAATAAAATAGAAAAGGCAGCAAACGCGCAGTGCGCAGAACACGCTCAATATGAGCTGCTGCTGCTGCTGCTGCTGCTGCGGTTTCCTGCGTGAATGCTGCTTCCGCATGCGCTGCTGCTGCAGAAGCACCTGCTGCTGCTGCTGCTGCTGCTGCTGCTGCGTACCTGCAGCTGCCTCATTTCCAAGTGGGCCCTCTGGCGCTGCAGCTCCGCAAGTCTTCCGTGTTCTTCCGGAGTCATTTTGTTTTCGGATTCATTTTTGATTTGCTGCTGCGCAGTTTGGTTGGCGGCCTCCACGGCCTTGCGGAGCTGCGCGGGCAGCATGCTGGGGTGGAAAGCTGCGACTCGGGGCCTCTGGGAGTGGAAAAAAAGGAAAAGAAAGTCAAAATTAGTCAAAAGAAGTCAAGATTCCACGAGAATTCAACAATCCGGAAAAGATTCCCAAACAAAAGTGACCCGCCAGTGGTGCGCGCGCTCAACCTGCATTCTCCTGAGGTGTACGTACAGCCCAAAACTTGAACGCGAAACCAGCCGCTTTGGCCTCAGAAGGCATTCTGGCGTCGAATTACTTCAATTTCGACGCGACTTCAAAGTAAATGATATTATTTGAATTAAATGATGTTATTTGCACAAAAAAACTGGAAAATCCCTCCGGAAAAGGTGCTTTTCAGGAGTTTCACGCGCCTTCTCGCGTTTGTGCAGAATCCCAAAAGTTGAATTCGGGCGCCCCGCGCCGCCAAGTATTGATCTTCTTTCTTTTTCGCGCGATCTCGTTAAGAATTCAAAAATAAATTCGAAAGATATTTTAATAATTGGAAGCTTTTGGAATTTAACCCGAGTTTCCCTCATTCAACTTCGCATGCAGCCCCAGCGCCGAGCCGCCAGCAACCAGCAGCAGCAGCAGCAGCAGCAGCAGCAGCAGCAAAAGGTAGTTTTAGTCGCCTTCTCTGCAGCTGATTTCTTCAGGACTTTCTTTTCAAACTGCCTTTTATATTTTCTTCTTGCAAAAAGACTCAGCAGCAAACTGAGGCTCAGCAGCAGACCAAATGTCTGGTGCATCTCCGGGACTTCAGAATGAAGCAGCAGAGTTGACTTCAGCTGACACTCGCGCTGCAGCAGCTGCTTCCCCGGAAGTGCCTGCTGCTGCTGCTGCTGCAGCAGCAGCAGCGGCCAGCTGCTCCCAGCAACAGCAGCCAGCTGCTGGCGCTCCTGGTGCTGCTGCTGCAGCAGAAGCAGCAGCAGCAGCAGCAGCAGCGGACTCCTTCGCGGAAGAGGATTTCGCAGCAGCTTCGCTTGCTGCTGCTGCGCTGCACCTCGAGATACACCCCAATGCATGCGCTGAAGACGAATTCGCTTTTGCTGCTGCATGCGACTCTGGGGGCTTTTGCGTAGACGACGAAGACGCTGCTGCTCCCGAGCAGCAGCAGCAGCAGCAGCAGCAGCAGCAGCAGCAGGAACTCGAGCAGCAGCAGCTGCTGCAGGCCACCGACTGCGGGGCGCAGCAAAACAAGGAACGCTCGCCTGCGCTCCTGGGCGCTGCAGCAGAGGAGGGGCCAGCGGCCTTTTCTGCTGCTCACGAGCCCCCTCAGCAGCAGCAGCAGCAGCAGCAGCAGCAGCAGCAGCAGCAGCAGCAGCAGCAGCAGGTGGTAGAGTTTGGAGGCGCCGTTTCTGACAGCGAAGACGTGGCTGCGGCGTTGGAGGGGGAGAGGGAAGTTTGGGGAGAGTCTGCGGAGTTGGAGGAATTAAATAAATCTGGAAATGAATTAAAATTAAATAAATCTGGAAATGAATTAAAATTAAATAAATCCGGAAATGAATTAAAACTGAAAAGTGAAAGACAAGTGGGAGGCTCAGGAGGGGGGGAGAGCAGCTGTATGTACAGCTCGCTGCTGTGGGGCGACGGAGCAGCAGCAGCAGCAGCAGCAGCAGCAGCGCGAGGCCGCGGCGCTGCAGCAGGCTGGTGCTCGCAGCAGCAAGCAGCAGCAAAGTACTGCCTGCAGCAGCAGCTGCTGCGGGGCGAAGCAGCAGCAGGAAGGCTGCAGGTGCGGCAGCAGCAAAACCCGCACGGGGGGGCCTTCAGGCCCATGCGGCTCTACGCTGTGCCCGAGCTGGAGGCCTTAGCAGCAAGGGTTTGGGGCTCTTTGGAAGCAGCAAAAGCCGAGAGAGAAAGGAGAATAGAAGAGAGTTGGAGACGCAAAAGAAGCAGCAGCAAACCGCTGCTGCTGCTCCCCAAAAAAAGCTGCAAAAAGAGCCCCAAAAGTCCGCCCCAAACCTGCGACTTTGCGCAGCAGCTGTCTGTACACCCCGCGCATGCGCAGCAGCTGTCTGTACACCCCGCGCATGCGCATGCGCAGCAGCCCCCACAGGTGGAATGGGAGGAAATTTAAAAGACACTTTTGTTTGTTTTTGAATTCGGAAGTTATAAAGTGAAACTGCGCCTTCAGCTGCGGCCCGCTGCGGTGTCTGTACACCCCGCAGGCGCCGCTGCGGTGTCTGTACACCCCGCAGGCGCCGCTGCGGTGTCTGTACACCCCAGCTCGCTGCACTTCGCGCTGCTCTTTTTTGCTGCTTCCAACTGCATGCAAAACTTCTTTTTGCGCCTCCAACTGCGGGCCTCCCGCTGCTTCCGGGGCCTCTGAAGGGGCCCCAGCAGCAGCAGCAAAGGGCCCAAAAGGCCCGAATTAAAGCTCTATTTAAAGCCCTTTTCGGGTTTTCCAAATTCCAAAATTGCACTGAGACCAAATGCCCGCTGCACAAGCCGGGGGCCCCACTCGCAGCGCTTTGCGCAGAGCCATAGAGCTTCAGCGAAGTTGGGAAGCTTTCGGGGAGTTTTAAAGCTTTCAATGAAGTTTTAAAGCTTTCGATAAAGTTATAAAACTCCAAATAATGTTCCGCAGCCTTCAAGGGGCCTTGGGGGCCCCCAGACTCGCAGCTGCGGATTAGCAAAAATGTGAAAAGCAGCAAAATGGCGGAGTCCGTGGGCCCCGGGAGGCAGTTGGTGGCCATAAAGGAGCTTTTTGCGTTTTATTTTCAATAAAATGTAAATTAAAATAAATATTTGAGGAAGAACTTCTCAAAAAGCCCTCGAATTGCTGCTTTGAGCGGCGGCGAGTGTGGCGGACGAGTCTGTGCAGCGGGGTGTACGTACACCTCAGACCCCCCGCAGGCGAGCTGCAGCCGAAAGAAAGGAAAGCAATCCGCATTACTTTCTTTTTGAATATTTTCCTTTTGATTAATGAAACGCGAGTTGGATGTTTGCTGCAGCGAAGCAGCAGCAGCTGCTGGCGGCTGCCGATTGCTGCTGCAGCCGGCGGCGGTCGAGTCTGGCGGCAGCGGCTGATCCCGCGAACCTGCTGCTCCTTTTTCCCCATTTTTTCGGAATTTGGATTAATTTTGGAGTTTTATTTTCCAAAAGTTCCTTTTTTGGAGCATGCGGAGGCTTTTGGGGCGCAGATCCTCGCAGCGGGCGTCGGCGGCGCGGCGCTTTCCGAGTTGAACAGGCGCAGCAGCAGCAGCAGCAGCAGCAGCAGCAGCAGCAGCAGCAGATACGAACTCGGTGAGTTTTTTCGCAGTTTTGAATTCTCGTTTTTGCAAACTTTTAATTTCACTAAAAGACCATTCAGCCCGCGAAGGTGACCAGTGGTCAGTGGCGTTGAGCGGATCGGCGGTGGCTGGACGGCTGCGGTGCAGCTGCTGCTGGGTTCATTTTTGGCGGATTTTTCGCTATTTTTCGCTTTTTTGGATTTATTTATTCACTTTTTAATTTATTTATCCTTTTTTGAGTTTAAATTCCGAAATTTGGCGTTTTTTTGGCCTTTTTCCGCAGCTTTCCCGCAGCAACTCGCAGCTTTCCCGCGCTGCTGCTGCCAATGGCGCCCCTGAAGAACCACCGCTTCTGCTGCTGCAGCGAACACCACGCCGAGGCCTCTTCAGTCGAAGCTGCTGTTGCTGCTGCTCGTGCTGCTGCTCACAGGGCGCAGCAGCAGCAGCGGGAGGGGCCCCCCACAGCTGCTGCTGCAGTGCAGTGCGACTTGGAGCCGGAGGCCCCGCCCTCGCCGGGGCCCCCCGAGGGGCCCCCCGAGGGGCCCCCCGCGGAGGGCCCCCAGGGGGCCCCCCAGGGGGCCCCCCAGGGGCCCCCCGAGGGGCCCCCGCCCCTCAAGGGGCAGCTGCAGCTGCAGGGCAATTTGCTGCTGCTGCCGCAGCAGCAGTTTGTTGATGATGATGTTCGCTTTGCACATTACCCTTTTGTGTCTCTGGAGTGCTGCGGGGCGCAGCAGCAGCGGCAGCAGCAGTTCTGGGAGAAGCAGCAGCAGCGGCGGCTGCTGCAGCCCGCGCTGCAGCAGCAGCGGCTGCAGCAGCAGCTGCTGCGCATCCCCAAACACCGCGAGGCCTTCCCGCTGCAGCAGCAGCAGCAAACCCACGAGGTGGATGTACACCTCAAGCGCCGCGTCCGCCGGGTGTACGACCACGCCCACTCTTTGCCGCTGCATGCAGAAAGCAGCACTGCTGCCAGAAGAGCAGCAGCAGCAGCAGCAGCAGCAGCAGCAGCAGCAAGTTCGAGCTGCAAGCTGCAGCAAACCAACTTGCTGCACAAACACTCCCTCCGCCGCTGCTGCTCTGCTGCTGGCGCGAGGCCCCTTTCTGTGGAGGCCCCTCTTTGTGCCTGTCCCCGCATAGTCCCCGTCCCCTGCAGCAGCAGCAGCAGCAGCAGCAGCAGCAGCTGCTGCTGCTGCTGCTGCAGCAAAGGCGGCAGCAGCAGGCCCCTTTGGGAGGCGGCGCAGCAGCAGCCGCAGCCGCCGCCGCAGCCGCCAAACCCCGCCTGCCTCGCTGCAGCAGCAACTGCAGCAACAGCAGCAGCAGCAGCAGCAGCAGCAGCAGCAGCAGCAGCACCTCCCGCTGCTATCGTTCTGGGGGCCCCACAGCCCCCCCACTGCCACCGGCCTGATGCCCATTTCTGTGCCTTCTCGCAGCAGCCGCAGCACATCCATGCCCACTTGGGGGCCCCCGGGGGGCCCCCCGTGGGGGCCCCCCTGGGGGCCCCCATGGGGGCCCCCCTGGGGGCCCCCGTGGGGGCCCCCGTGACAGCATTTGTGGGGCCCCCGACCCCGTGCGGCACTCTAGGGGGCCCCTATGGGGGCCCCTACTACCCAGCGGCTGCGGGCTGCGTTGTGGGGCCCCCAGGGGCCCCTGGGGGGGCCCCCTGGGGGGCCCCCTGGGGGGCCCCCATGGGGGCCCCCATGGGGGCCCCCATAGGGGCCCCCCTGGGGGCCACGTTAAGCTTTCCTTTGCCTCCTTTGCAGTACTGAGTTTCGCCAAAGGCGTTT